AACGTCAACTTATCACCTCATTAGGACGCTCTTCCTTTTTCAACTTCCGCAATTAGACGCCCCAACATGGACATTGCTATTTCCCTGGTGAGACCGCTTGGACGCTAGCGTCATGAATTTTAATTCGAGTTTACATTAAAAGCAATTCGAAAAGACGAAGAACGTTTCCACTCGAAAGAATGCAAGTACAGACCACATTTTCAATCGTTCACAAATCGATTTTTATTAGGCGATGAACTAACATTTTGATAGATTTTCTTGTTGTAAATGCAGGCATGAACGTGAAATACTTTGTAAAAATTCCCTGTAATCGTAATGCGCTTTGTGTTATCCTTAATCCTTTGTCACCAAAAGTGTAAAATGTAACAAAAAATGTTTTAGAGCATTGTATTTCCGCGTAAGATGCTGCCACTTAAATTGCCCATTGTCGGAAGCAAGTGTTTTTGGTTATAGACCGCTATGCGTTACTATGAAACGGTGTTAGCACTTTATTGACGAAAAAGTGTCCTAATATACTCTAAAATAATAGCATACAACCGGAAATATGTTTTTCATCGTAGAGCGCTATGTGTTACCGTGAAACAGCATTAGCATTTTATCGACGATTTGGTACCTCATATTCTAAAATAATTACCCATAGCTAGAAGTATGGTTTCCATTGTGTAGTGCTATGCTTTACCATGAAAAGGTATTACCACTTTATCGACAAATAAGTGCCTTACATTGTAAAATAATTGCACACAGCTGGAACTAAGCCTTTCATCCGTGAGCGCTATGCGTTATTGTGAAAGGGTGTTAGCACTTTATCGACGAAAAAGTGCCTTACATTCTAAAATAATTGCACATAGATAAAAGTATGGTTTACATCGTGAAGTGCTATGCCTTACGGTGAAAGGGTATTACCACTTTACCGACGAATAAGTGCCCTACATAGTAAAATAATTGCACACAGCTGGAACTAAGCTTTTCATCGTGGAGCGCTATGCGTTCTTGTGAAAGGGTGTTAGCACTTTATCGACGAAAAAGTGTATTATATTCTAAAATTATTGCACATAGCAGGAAGTATGTTTTTCATCGTGAAGCGCTTTGCATTTTATCGATGAAATAAACCACCATATCGTAAAAAAATTGCACGTCGTTAGGAATTGCCGAGCGCTAATGATTATCGTAGAGCGCTAGTACTTTGTCGAACAAGTGGGTACGTTGTAACGTAAAAAAATGCATATTATCTTAGAATATTGAATTTTCTTGCTTAACGATAGAGCCACCTTTAGGATATTATTTTATTTGAAAAAGAAAAGTAACGGATATCGCTATTCATCATAAATCATTTGTAATTATCATTACAATGTATTACGTGTAAAATACTCGAGTTGATGGTATGCTTGCACATACACATATTATGTGTATAAACACTGCTCGATAAAATTTATAACTATCCATGATTATAGGCATTAAAGATAGTTGAGAGTAAAATTTCTAAGAAAAAGATATAATTGTGTTATACACTTCCTTGCTTTAATGACTTTAGAACCGGATGATTGTTGTAAATAGTTCTGATAATCCCAAAGGCATTATCAGTTGCATTTAATTGTCCAGGCCTACATTACTTATCATCCTTTTTTCGTAACTATAATTAAATAAATTTAGATGCGATATAATATTTTCTTGTGTTGAATGGCGTGAAAATTCAACTTTGCAGTCTGTAATTTAAAAGCGACGCATAAAGTTTAATTTATTATTTTGTTCTTTTTAACGTTAGGCCAATAATTCCAAACTTTCAACACCTTTTCTGTTATAATAATATAAAATGTTGCTGTTGCCTGCGCAGATAGCATGCATCAATAATATAATTAATGGGGAATTTAGTTCAATAATTAATTGGTTAATCAATTAGATAATTATATACTGCAGGGACACCGACAAAATCAAGTTTTACTATATAATTTATTTAAATCAATCTTAAAATTAAAATGGAAGCACCTGTTAATAACCATATTTATTTAAAGATACCTTAATGATGTGTATTAATTACACACTTAATTACATATCTACTGTATTTTTGTAGCAAACATTAACATTGCAGGTAGTTATAATATTTCTTAAATAATAATAATTGATTTGTGCTTTTAAGTTTAAGATATTTGGGATTTTGCCGTTATTGACAATTTTGTTAAGAATAATTCAAGGAATATTCTCCCAAAGTTTTATAAGAATCAAATGAGAACACCAATTTTTCTATTACAGATAAATGTTCCTTGAATCGTCCTGATCAAAAGTCTCAATGATGGCATGTCTCAAAAATCTCGAACTTTTGAACTTGCTTGAAAATAAAAATTCTCATCATAATACTAAAAGGTGAGACTTGATCGGGATGATTAAACTTTTAAATTTTTATTACAATCGACCGAAACACATTTTCCTTTCAAAATCTGCGGTGTCCTTTCTGTCTCTTTAATCTATAATTGTGGGGTGCCGACTGTTTCATGAACTACATTGCAATAGTTAAAACTACAATGTTTGGTTCAGGATAGGAACAGAGGTAAAGTTTGATCAAATGTTGTGTATTTTCGTTTTAGAATTATTACATATTTCTGTATTAAATTAAAACTTAAAAATTGAACTTATAATCTTTGTAATTGGCTTTTTTAAGGAAAAACGAACTTAAAATAGAAGTTATAGAAAGAATAGAAATTATTATGCAAAAATAATTTTTACCATTTTCCAGTTTGCGTAATTTTTACAGCAAAAGAAAAGTCATAATTATCCAAATCATTTGCTAATAATATGCAAGGCTATTTATTCAACTTCTGTCGGAACGCGATTTTTAAAAAGACGTCAAAGTTTAAACCGATTAATTCAGCTTCTGAAAGACACAAATATATAACAATATAAATTTCAGTACTCAGAGTTCACAATATTTTTTTACAAACCTAATTGAATATTCAAAAAGAACATATATTTTTTTACTTTCTTTATTGATTGCCAATTGTTTTTAGATATGATGTAGCTTATGGTAATCAAATTTATTGTCCTGTGGGTAGGTATGTAAAAGCAAGCCAAAGCTAATGTTTATTTAGGCATACCACAGAGTCATTATGTCATTAAAATCAGATCTGTTTATCTTCATTCCTTCACAACATTCGTTCAAACCTATTGCCTTCAATCTAGGAATTTTGTATGATTAGAATGGATTTTTATAACAATATTTTGTTACTATTAGATAAAATACGAATAAGTCATTAATACCTATATAGTAGATAAAATTATTTGTCACTGTTGTATTCAACGCTTAATTAAAGGTATCAGCTTTATTCATTTTATTTTAATTGCTGCATTTAATAATTGAAATAGATACCTATTATAGTATATACGTATCAAAAATTTTCGAACAAAATCATAAAATTTCTTAAGTAAGTTTTGTTGAACAATTTCCGTCTTAAATATATGTCGAACATTTAAACAAGACAAGTCTTAATATACTATCAACAAGAATCATAAAACTGCCAACTAAAATCGTTGCCCTTCTAGCAATGTCGTCTGCTATTTTTATTTTTGATTTTGGCACCTGAACACAGGCCGCTACAAATGCGCATAGTAATCTCTAATCGCATGCCTGACGGTGCATGCATTTATTTCGATACTTGTCAGATGACAAGAAAGAAATTCGAAGAAAATATAAATCCTTTTTAAGGAACAAAATAATTGACAAACGACGGAATAAAGATGCCATACGTATCTTTACTTTTCTATTTTATCTTAATACAGATTTTTATTACATCAAACGTTTCATTACTGGTGCAGAATTTGGACATTTAATCACATAATGCGATTTTTGAGTATTAGTTGCAGGAAATACGCTTGGTCCTGAAGTGCAGCAAGGTGATAGCACTTATTGACGAATTCGACTGCTGCGACGTAAAAAATTTGAAAATTTAAGTGCATTCCACCGTGAATGCTGCGGCGATTTCACATTATCGAAAAATAATGTATATGCCCTTATCGTAAAGCGTTGTGTTTAAGCTGGAGTGAAGGGTTATACATTATTGTTACAAAAGCGCGTAATGCTGATCATTTTCGGGGAATTTAGCCTTTTTCCGAGGAGCGCTCTACGATATTGTGAAACAGTTATAAGATTATACCAACGAAAAAGTGTAAAATATCGCAGAAAATTTTCACATTCCAGAAATTATAATTTGTTTCTCTGTACGGCACTGATAGAACCATTTTTGGACATTCTGGGCATATTATAGTGGATGCCATCGTGGAGCGATGTGCGTAATCGTGTGGCGATTTCACTTTATCGAGAAATAAATAGATACTTGTACCACAGTATAATAATACTCTATTCAATAGAAGGGAAGCGCTTTTTACATTGGAATGAAGGGATTACGCTTCATCAACGAAATACTGTAAAATATCCCAGAACATTTGCACAATCCGGAAAATATTTTGCCTTTCATCAAAGAGTGTCTCTTTTGTGCATATCGCATATCGCAGAAGTATTGCACACCGCCGGCGGGATTGAATGCATTTCATAGTGGAGCGTAGTGCGTTACCGTGAAAGGGTTTTAGCGTAAAGAACATTACACACCGCCGCGGGAGGATGTGCTTTTCGGTGTAGAGCGCTTTGAGTTATCGTGAAAGGATTGTAGCGTAAAGAACATTACACATCGCTGCGGGAGGATGTGCTTTTCGGTGTAAAGCGCTTTGAGTTACCGTGAAAGGGTATGAGTCTAAAGAATATTCCACATAGCCGCGGGAGGATGTGCTTTTCGGTGTAAAGCGCTTTGAGTTACCGTAAAAGGGTTTTAGCCTAAAGAACATTACACATTGCCGCGGAAGGATGTGCTTTTCGGTGTTGAGCGCTTTCAGTTATTGTGAAGCGGTTCAGTACTTTGTCGGCAAACAAATGCGTTATTAGGTGAAGATATTTCACATTATCGTAGAACTTTGAATTCTGTCACTGTCAATGATGAATTCTAGTAGGTGTGACGTACCCTATCATATTGATGAGCGGCTCCAAAAGGAGATGAGAATGGCCCAGCTCTGGGCACGGGATGAGCCGATACCGGAGGAGCACCTCCAGCTCTCTGGTACAAATAAGGGTAATACGCCTGGTACATCACTTCTGAACAGCTCATATTACAAAATAAACAAGTACATTACAACTGCGTGTCTGTACAACACTTTGCGCTGACCGATCGTATCCTTTCCGTCGCGGCGCAGACTTCGGTTCGCGTTATCCTTCGAAAGGATAATTCGATCGTCGCACACTTATACGAAACTACTACAGGGTGTTTTTTTATTATTCACGTGATATCACAGTTACATTTTTCTAGTCTGTTTTTGTTTTCCTCGAAAAAACGCAAGAAAAAAGTTATAAGTGACCGGACGCACAAGCGGGGAGTGATAAGGGCGACGTCGCGCGGTCGTGGTAAAATCCGTCCACAAACATAATCACAGTAAACACTGACTCCTGCTCGCGGGTCCCGTTGACGACTGGATGAGGCTCCGCCCCGCGGATTCCCCTCTTCGGACGAAATTCTGGGAGTCTATTCGTTATCACGTCATGCTTGCAGTTCAGACCAATGACAAAGCGCCGGTAAAGAAAAAGTGCCCAATGGAAAATGGCCACTGCATTCCTCCTCTGGGATATTATTTTATTTCCATATCGCCATAGTAGGAAAATTTTTAGTCGATTAGGATGTAAAGCTCCAACCCTGATCGGACGCATACCATTCACTACTTCCAGTACATCACGCGAAAATCGCTTATTTTAAATCGATTCGAAACTGTGATAAGTCACCTTTAAAATAACCTCCAAAGAAAAAAAGTTCCCTAATAAAGTTATACCTGAATGGAATTCATTAGGAATGAATACCAAATTGACATATTTAGATACGTTTTTTGAAAATTTAATTTAGTGTTATACGAGGTCCTTTGAAAAAGGACCTACGGCTCGATGTACCGAATTCGCGTTTAGAATATTCGATAAATCTTTTGTGGAATGTTGAGATTTTAGAGTGTTTATTTAATCAAGTTTTGATTGATTGATTGATTGATTTTCTTGTATGTAATCCCTTACAGGATCGCTTGGTTGTCTATGCGCCTGTCTGTTTGACCAACAAGTGTATAATCATCAAAATCTATCTGTAGTTTTTCTAGTTGAGTTACAATCCACTTAGGATACTTTTAGCATATTATAGATGGATTTCGTCGTAAAGCGCTCTGCGTAATCGGTGGCGATATCATCACTTTTTCGGGAAATAAGTAGATATACTTGTGCCACTGTACAAATATATTATATTTAAGGGAAGAGAAGTGTTTTTTACGTAGCATTGTAGGATTACATATATTTTAACGACACACAGATAAATGTAAAATCGCAGGTAAAAGTAGGAAATCTTGCCTTTTTGCCGAGGGGCGCTTTACGATAATGTGAAGGGGCTGTAAAATTATACCAATAAAAAGGTGTTAAATATCACAAAAAATTTTGGCATTCCGGCAAATACGTTTTGTTTCTCTGTAGGGCACTGCTAGAACCATTTTTGGATGTTCTTGGCATATTATAGGTGGATTTCATCGTGGAGCGCTCTGCGTATTCGATAGCGATATCATATCGAGAAATAAGTAGATATATTTGTCCCACCGTACAAAGATATTATATTTAAGGGAATGAAGGTGTATTTTTACGTAGAAATGATGTAGGATTACATATATTTTAACGACACATAAGTGTAAAATTGCAGGTAAATGTAGAAAATCTTGCCTTTTGCCGAGGGGCGCTCTACGATATTGTGAAGGAGTTATTAGATTAGACCAATATCATGTAGGGCACTGCTAGAACCATTTTTTGACGTTCTTGACTTATTATAGGTGGATTTTATCGTGGAGCGCTGTGCGTAATTGTGTGGCGATTTCATTTTATCGAGAAATAGGTAGATACTTCTACCACAGTATAAACATATTCTATTCAAAGAAAGAGAAGCGCTTTCTACGTTGGAATGAACAGTTATATTTTAACGTTACAAAAGTGTAAAGTCCTACATAAAAGTTGGTAATTTTCGGGAAATTGTGCTTTCTGCAAAGGGGTGCTTTACGGTATATTTAGGGGTTACAATATTATATCAACCAAAACATGTAAAATATATCAGAAAGTTTTCACATTTTGGTAAATATAAATTATTTCTTCGTAGGACACTTATAGTTGAGTTAGAACCCTCTTTGGGCATTCTAGGTGGATCTTATCGTGAAGCGCTGTGTGTATATAATCAAGTGGCGATTTCACCTTATTGAGAAATAAGTAGATACGTATACTACAGTATAAAAATGTTGTATGTAAGGGAAGGGAAGTGCCTTTTACGTTGGAATGAAGGGTTAGGTATATTTTAATGTCATAAAAGTGTAAAGGTACATCAACGTTGGTATTTTCAGGAAATCTTGCCTTTTGTCGAGGAACGCTCTGCGTTATTGTGAAGGGGTTATAAAATTATACCAACGAAAATGTATAAAATATCACAGAAAATTTTGGCATTTCGACAAATATATTTTGTTTTTCTGTAGAGTAGGTACTTTTAGTTGAACTGGAATCATAGTCTTCGACGTTCTTGGCATATTACAGATGGATTTTATCGTGGAGCGCTGTGCGTAATCGTATGACGATTTCTCTCTATCTAAAAATAAGTAGATAGTTGTACTTTCAAAGCATAAAGATATTCCATTTGATAGAAGAGGGAAGTGCTTTTTACGCTGGAGTGTAGGGTTATTTTTATTGTCATAAAAGTACAAAATCCTACATATAAAGGTTGGTTATTTTCGGGAAATTTTGCTTTTTGTCGAGGGGCGATCTACGATATACTATCAAAGGGCTAATGTAAGACTACTTATATCTATTACGAAAACTTGTAAAATATTACAGATAATTTGCACATTCTGGAAAATACTTTATTGTGTACTGTTGAGCGCCGTAATCCTCTATAAGTAAGGAATTTTTATGAACCCGTCTTCCCATTAAAATTTTAATAAGGAACTTTTGTAACCGCACTATAGATATATCCATATCTGTACAGGTAATTATTATTGTTTAACATAACTGTTTCTTAAATAATAGTTTATTTTACAAAAACTGAAGAGAAAAAACAGGCCATTTTTTTTTAAATAAGTACTATTGTTTTCTTTTAAAATATCTATAGGTAATAGAAAATAAATAGCGGTATGGGGGTCTATATTCAACTTCTACACCTTAAGGGGCACTATTGTTAGGTTTCCACGTAAATTCATAAATAGCAGGTAAACTGACGGTGTTTGAACTACTTTTATTAGGCAGTAAATATGAACAGGTAGAAGATAATTGTTTCTATTAACAAATAGAGATCGACTTGCTGGTGTGGGACCATGGATTGGTAGAAACAAAATCGGTATAAGCCCAGCCTCTCGTTAAGTGCAACTTTTCTATTGGCGCCTAGCGTCGTGTTTCAAAGACGATAAAGTCTATACTTAAGTCCAAAGTCTTCAAAACGTTCATTACATTATAAGTTTATCTTTCTATATGGTTTCTTACTTAATTGAATGTTTTAATTTTTGTTGTTTATTCAGTATCAGATGAAATCCGTATCAGAAAAGCTTTTTATTGATTAGGTATTATATATACTTACAAAGAATTAAAATAAAAAAAATAACTCAAAAGGACCTTCAATTTTCCATCATGTATTTTACATTAGTGGCGAACTGAAAAACACGACATGGAATAGGAAAATTCGTACAAGTACCTTTACTTATTTGCTTTGCATAGTCAGCGCTGGGTTTACACTAGGGGCACTGGTGGCTGGTGCCCAGGGGCAATAAATTAGGGATTTAAGAAAAATAAATTTATATATTTATATAAAAAAATGTTTGATTATAAAATTTTATTTATTAAAAAAAAAGAAAACTGATAAGCAGTTGACCTTGCAGGTCATCCCTCAAATGTTTCGTAATTAAACATACATATTTGCAAGTAATTGAGCTCCTAGGGCTCCGATAGTTACTTCAAATTATTTTTTTTTCAATATTTGGATAGACTTTCAAATTAATCAACCAGTTGAAGTACGATCCATGTAGCTGACTATCTACTAAATCTCGATTTTACTAGGAATTCGAATGCCGTTTCAAAGGAAAAGAAAACTTTTATGAAACTTTTCGTCAACAATATTTTCGAATGCATCAACTTATTTTGATGGGATTTACAGCATTCCACGGAAGTTTTTTCAATTGTAAATGACTGAATTTGTAGCAGAAATAATAGAATTTATTAGGTAACTTGTAATAATCTCAAATTTGATATGTTTTTTAAAAATTATTTCAAGTTTCTTAACTATTAAAATTTAATTTGTAATATCGATTAAAATACCTAGTAAATTTATTTCTGCTGGAATTTCTTTTTTACAAATTCGGGTCCAAATTGTAATTTTTATTATTTTCGCTTACGAAGCAACGGGGCAGTGGGATATATTGTAAATATCGCTGTAATATTTAGGTAAATTTTCCTTTTTCATTTTTCCCATGTCGACGTTGTTTTTTGAGCTTTAGATTTCCTTTGATCTCAAAAGTCGAGATTAGATATGAATACTAGATTTTCGAAACTCGACTTGAAATCAATTTTCCAATTTGGGTGATGAACCCTCATCTATTTTTTGTAGAATATGGGTAATGGGGCGGCATTTTTTACGGTGCCCACAGGACGATATTAAGGGAAAATCCGGCCCTGTCTATACCAACAAATTTCTGACATTTTCAAATATAGATATACCTGATACGTATTCACAGTTTTTAAAATAAATGTAAGAAACTATATTTTTTTACTATTAGGTACCACTTCAATTTTTGTTATTATTAATTTATTTTTAAGGATTTGTCTTTTAATATTTATTTTCTTTTGTTTGCATAAAACTTACTTATTTAACTAATTAAGTATCTAAGTTTATATCAAACAGCTTTCTGGGGCTTTCAAACTTTTACTAATAAAAAAAACGGTCTTTAACGATATAATTTAATTATTTAATATTCATCCCTTATTCTTTGCGAGATTGCTTTTATAAATATTCAGTTACCTTTCGGGTACAATATTTAATAATATATAAAACTTTGGTGTTCTTAGGGGTAGTTTATGATATGACATGGTCAAAGTCATACTGTGTTATTATTACAGATTCAAAAAAGATTAGGGCAGGCTTAAAGCGTTTTTTTATTCGAATAAAATTGTACAAAAGTAAAAATCTTGAATTATTCTATTAATTAGTATTTAATTGTGCATACAAAAGATATTAGAAAACTTATAGTTCTTCTTTGTTGATTATATTTTTTTAAAAGTAGCTGAGTACGATTTTGTTCGAATGCAAGAAGGATATAATTTGATTTGATAAAGAGTTTTTGAAGATGTATAATCCTTATAAACACAAGAAAAGTACAACTTTGAAATTAGGCGTAGAAATTTCGAAATACTTTACAAGCTGAGGCTAGCAGCTAGGGTAGACTTAAAACTTTCCAGGGCAGGCTTAGTCATTACATTTAACTACTACCTTTACACAGTAGCAAGAACTATTATGTATGCTCCAACTTGTGGTACAGTGTTCTTCCATGGAAAAATTTTCAATCTTATTAGCGCGCTATACAGTCTCAACAAATAACTGACTTAGAAAGACTTTGTATATATGCCAAATACTTTAGTAGCAGCAAATATACACCAGATGGCGTTAAACTGCCTTTAGTTACATATTTTATTGCAATGTATAAAGCTCCTAATTTATGCAAAATATTATGTTTCCTTTACAAAACATTGCAAATTTATTGAACTTTATCTATCATTAATGATGATGTTATTCCTTTTAGTAAAATAATATACCATTTATTTAATATTGGTTTATTTTTTAAATGTAGTTGCTTCATTTGCGTTACATTAATCGCTAGTGTATTACCCACAAAGAAACGCGAAATTAATTAAATATAATTTATTCCTACAGAATTTACAGGACATTGTTAAAATGAGCATAAAACAAAAAAAACATTATCAGTCTATCACAGAGGAATATCCAGTAACTATTGAAACATGATACAGTTTAGACAATAAGTTTACATAATATATTTCTTTACTATTAATTGATTTAGACAAATTCAAAATAAAATTATAATAAAACAATATATTAATATTCCTATAAAAATCATACACGTCGTCGTGACCGCCCACTTCGAGATTTCGCAGTATTAGATCCTCCCGAACCGATGCTGAACATCCCTGGTGCGGGAGCGTTAAAGTTTGGGACGTTAAAGGGTTGTTGTGGCGCACCGAAATTGGAACCTGCAGAAAAATTAGGAACTGGTTTATTGGGATCGTTGACTGATCCAAAAGAGAACACACCAGTAGACGGGTTAGAAACCCCGGAAACACTACCAAATGAGAAAGACTGTGATTGAGTCGTTGCACCAAATGCAGGCTGAGTACTGGAACCGAATGGTGGGGGGGCAGTTCCACCAAAACCAGTTTGGGTGTTTGGCGATCCAAATGCAGCAGGTTGCTGACTAGAACCAAAACTTGTTTGTGGGGCAGAACCAAATGGTTGTTGTGTATTCGAGCCAAAACCAGTTGCTTGGGTTGTTGAAGCACCAAATGTTGATTGAGGAGCAGATCCGAAGGCTGATTGAGGAGTTAAACCAAAACCTGAATGTGTATTAGTTGAACCAAAGCCAGATTGAGGAGTAGAACCAAAACCTGCTTGGGTAGCAGTCGATCCAAAGCCAGTAGCAGTACTAGAACCGAAACCAGTTTGAGTAGTGTTAGGTCCAAATGCATTTCCTCCAAATGCACCCGAAGCAAAAGTTGATGTTGCATTGGGATTGCCAAATGTAGAAGCAGACGTTTGCGTCACAGCAGAACCAAAAGTAGGAGCAGTAGTAGGAGGAGCAGAAGTTCCAGAACCAAAAGAACTACCGAAAACTGAAGAAGTAGCTGGTAATGTAGAAGAACCAAACGCGTGAGTGTTGGAACCGAAGGTTGGTGTTGGTTGTGAATTCGCTCCAAATGATGTGTTTGCACCAAAGGTGGGAGCTGAACTAAACGCTAATGATGACTGAGTGGTATTTGGTGCAAATGCTGAAGTAGTACTGGAATCAAATGTTGAACGTGCCTGAGTACTTCTACCAAAAACGGGTAATGCCTGCGTATTAGAACCACATGTAGTACTCGTAGTTGGGTTTGAGGAACCGAACCCAGGTTGGGAAAACTTGGAGCCAGATGTAAAACTAGTACCAGTACTACTATTACCAAAAGTAGACGACGTAGTTACGACCACAGTACCGAAGGACGAAGTAGTTGCTGTTGGAGCGGTAACACCTCCAAAACTTACGGTACCAGTAGTACCTTTAAAAGGGGTTGAAGAGGAGGATAGAGTGTTTCCAAAAATATTTGGTGTCGTTGTAACTATTCCAAAAGCTGGAAGAGCAATAGAAGTAGAAGTATTTGTACTGACAGCAGTTGTAGTACCAGTAATACCACCACCACCACTACTACCACCAACAAAACTGAATGAAGGAGTTTTGTCAGTACCAAAACTAGGTGCCGAATTTCCACCACCAAAAGAAAAAGTTGTAGGTTTAGTAAACGTTGAAGTAGTGGGAGAAGAGGTTTTTGAAACGAAGCCGAAAGAAGGTGTGGCACTAGGAGTTGTGGATGACTGTGTCATAAATGAACCAAATGATGGTGCAGCCTTTGTTGTTGGAGTACTAAAAGGTGAAATTGTAGCAGATGATGTTACTCCAAAACCAGGCGACTTAGCTGGAGCAGTCGAAGTCGTTGGTAAAGCAAAAGGTGAAGAAGACGCAGTTGAAGCGTCATTTGATTTAAATAGAGATTGTGGCATACTTGAAGTTACGTTCTTCTCAAATGGCGAAGATTTTGATGGACTTTTGACAAATGATGCTCCCCCAAAAGGCATCACTGAAGAGGTTGTGGTAGTCATACCAAATTGAACAGGTTTTGTGGTTGAAGGGGGAGTAAAAGTTACTGGTGGCATATTTGATGTCGATGGTGTCCCTAATTTTTGAGTACCTCCTGCTTGTAAATTAAAGTTAAGGCCTGCTTCTGATTTAGGAGGTGTAGAACTCTTTGAAGTTTCTTGTTTGTTTACAGTAGGAAGCTTTGGAGGTGTTGTGGTGACAGCAGATCCAAATGTGGTACCAGAAAATTGAATTATTGGCGCAGGGAGTTTTGAAGAAAGACTTGGAGAATTTTGTTTTGAAACCGTCACATTGGTGGGACCCTTAAATTGTAAAACAGATGAATCGGAAGAAGAGCTTACTACGGGAGCGAAGAAATTGGTTTGGGGCTGAGAAGCTGGTACTTTTAAATCGAATTTAAAACCACCAGGTTTGGATGACGGAGTCTGGTCAGCTTCTGAACTAGTTTTAGGCTGAGGGACAATTTCGAGTTTTGAATTATCTTGTATTTTAAACTGGGTGTTTTGAGGTTCTTTTTGTAAAGTGTTTGCAGTAGAGGATAATACGGGATTTGGTAGAGAAAACGTCGAAGTTGTTGTTGCTTGATTGGAAGCAGATATAATAGTGGAAAATGTAGTTGGAGTATTCAAAGAGGTAAACGTAGATACGCTGGTGTGCGTGGATTCTGAAAATGGTATTTGCTGGGATTTGGATGTTGATAGGTCATCAGAAACAATTTTTCTTATTTCAACAGTTTCATTAAATGTAACGTGCTTTTCTTGTTTCGATTTATTAGCTGGCGATAAAATTGAATGTGCTTCTGAAGATCCCTCTATGCTTTCAAAATCAGGTGCCTGACCAGACAAAGCACCAAGGATAAGGGCAAGTCTTTTCTTTCTGTTTATTTCTAGTGGTTTGTCATCAAAAACTTTAAGAGGTGGATTTTGTTGTTTGGTAACCATTTCAGGTGAATCTTCTTTACTATTTTTCATCTCAATATCTTTTGGCGCCTGTTCAGACAACAAGTCGTTTGTAGTCTGAGTCTCGACACTGTGCAGCTTCAGAACTTTGGTAGATTTCTGAGTCTCATACGAATTGTCTAAAAAAAAAATGAGAATTATCTTATGTAAAATAGAGTTTTTATTTTATTTTATGCCCTACTTTTTGCTTTTCTCTTTTTTCCAAGCAATTCTCTTTCAAAAGCTTTATCTGAAGAAGTTAGTGAGGCAGTAATCGGATCCACATAAGGAATGGCAGGATCAATTCTCTTCTTTTCGGAACTCTTTTTTGTCACGTCGTTTGTTTCTTGTAAACTCAAGTCTTCCTTAGTTCTTTTACTGTTGGTAGAAAAGTTAAAGTTGTCACTATGTTTCACAGACAAACATGTTCCATTCTGCATTATATTTAGGTCCTGAAACGAAAAATTGTCATGTTATTAATATTCAGTGGCCAAATTCAGTAAATTACATTATCAGGGTGTATCCTTTTCCTAGATATCTCCTTTAGGGCATCTAAAACACTGCGAGTTTCTGTATTTTCTGCAGGCTGTGGTTGTTTCTCTTGCATTATACTTGGTAAAATTAATTTCCTCTGCTCTGCCTCATAGTTAGCAGCATCTGTATAAAATTAAAAGCAAATTCTTATTGATAAAACTAAAATAACAATTAATGAAATACAACAGTAAAAAGAAATAGGATTTATGATAACACAAAAGTAATATTTAAGCTTCCAAAATACCTGGCTGGGCTATATGTACTGTAACAGTATTTGGCTTGGCAGAAATAACAGGTAATTCCTTTTTAAATAATCTAACAATTGGGAAGGCTCTTTGAGCTTTATATGTTGAACGATTGTCTCTTTCTTCTTCTCTGGCATTGTAATCGACAATTCTGCTGGCTAATCCATAACTTCTTGAATCAGCATAAGTACTACAACATAAAAAAAAAAACGTTAACAATTAATAATGATCAGTAATTCATCAAAATACCTTAAATTTAAATTTGACCAAGTTCTGGAGGTACTCTTGGGAGATGCCTCATAGTTATTATCACCATAACCTTTAGCTTGATGGTTCCTTGAAAATGAAAGTCTGGATGAAAAAAGTTGTTAGATTAAAAATTCTAAATTAATTCCTTATACACTTACCTTTGCCGTTCTGCAGGTGGGGGAGTGGATATTGGACTGTTTAAAGGGGTTGAAGTTGCCTTAGCAAAAGTTCTATATTTTGGTAGTAATCTTGATGTATAAATGGGCGAAAAACATTCACTTTTCTCACTCCAGTTATAAAAACTGCCTGATGACGATTTATTAAATTTATCCATGTCCCAAAATGAATCCTTGTATGTGACAGAAAACTTGCTAGTTGGAGGAGCACCCTTGTGTAGTATTGTCAACAAAAATGTTTTAGTCTTGTGCACAAAACGATCTAGTAAACTAATATTTCCATGAAAGTCGTTAAATATTATGAATAATATACCGGCACCAACAATTGTAAATATGTAAGTAAATGAGGATATCACATATAACACCAAAAACAGTAAGGCAACTGCACACACTTTAAGCATTTCTGATTACAACACATTGTGAATTTTTATCACGAAATTTAATAGCTTTTGCATAACAAAATTAAGTTTCCAGTAGTATCTTTCTTCCGTTAACCTATTCTGTGTCGTCAGCCAAGACCGTTACAAATCTGTAGTTATCTGTAGTGAAGTGATGAGAAGTCACTTTTTCAATGAGGTACTGTGGAAGTGTTTAAAGTATACGAATCAAAATTAGCAAATTCATAATTAATCGCTGTTTAACGAAATTATGAATTATTTTATTGATGCATCTTTAATCGACAAATGTTTGCCTTCAAATGTATGTACTTTCTGTTTTTATTTTTATCTCAACATGTGTCTCATATCACATTGAGTACAGATGTCAAAGTATGAAACATGACCTTTTTTAAATTTAAAAATATTGATGGAGAATGTCGTTAATACGAAAAGTACGTTTTAATTAATTAATAAAGTGTTAGTGAGTGAGTATCATGAATAAACTTGATTTGGATATAAGCAACTTCATTAATATATCTAAGGAAGAACTGGAAAGTAAATACAATGTCCTCAAAGAGAGTCATAAATCCTTGCAAGTGGAGCTTGAAAGCAAAAATCAACTTATATATGATAATAAGCGTCAACTCCAGGTTTATGAGCAGCTAGAAAAAGATTTTCACCAAGAGATTGAACTGGTACAAAAGTTGGCCAAGTGTGAGGTTGAAAAGTATGAAATAAAAATTCAAAGGTTGGAAGAAAATGTGAGTGATTTAAATGATAGAAATCAGTATTTGGAAACATGTGTCTTTGAAAGAGAAGAAGAAAAGGTGCATCTTGAATTTGAGCTCAAGGAGCTGGTTGATAAGATTTCCCTGAGCAATGAAAAGTTAGAAACAGTGGATGATAATTGCCAAAGAGAAATCAGAAAATTAAAGGAAGAAAATGAACAGTTAAAGAAGGAGAATGAAGAATTGCTTTTAGAGGTGAAATTACTGAAAGAAGAAATCGCCACTTTTGAAGAAAAATATGAGGTAATATATCATAAAGGTCATTAATTTGAGGTATGTTTGCTAAAACATTTAATGTCGTAGATTGCAAACCTAGAATTAGAAAATGCAAAAGAGAATCTTTCCTGCAAAAAAAGTGAACTTGCAGAATGTAAAAATGTTTGCACAAATTTGCAAGAAGAAGTTGTTGTATTAAAAAGCGAATTGGAGGGACTAAGGAGTAAACCTTTGGATACAGGGGCAAAAGGAAATTCTCTTTTTGCAGAAGTGAATGACAAGTTGGTGTAAGATGTAAATTTACAAAGACATTATTTAAAGTGTGACATATTTTAGACGACTTGAAGTTCAAGACAAAATGAGCAGAATGAAACAGAAATACCTAGAAATGAAGAGAGATTATGGTAGCAAGCTTCAAAAAATTTCTGAATTAAGAGCAGAAAATCAAAAGTTAGCCCAACAACTAGAAGAAAACAACAAATTACAAAATAAAGATTATGAATATGTTATTAGCACCTTGAAGTAAGTGAAAAGTTCTGAGGGCTTCATAATTTTTTATTGTGTTCTCTTTTAGGAGCCGTGCAGCTACTTTGGAGGATCTTTTAGAAAGAACTAGGGCAGATGCTCTTCAGAATCAATGCATGGCTGAAAATACAGTCGATGACGATTTTAAATTTATACAAGACATGATGGAACCAAAAAAGTAAGAAAATGAATTGTTTTGATTTAGAATTTTTAAAGAAGGATTTAAAAAGATTTTGGTAATTGTTTTATCTAAGAACCATTCTTCAAGAGGTGCACCATCAATTAACAACTGGAACAACAGACTATTAATGTTCTGAAATAGCGAAGCTTATTTGGCCGTTTAATAAAAACTAATTATGGTGTTTGGCCCTCTTTACATCTTGAAATTTCTAATATTTTTTGCATTCAACTTTATTGTCTAATGAAGCAATTCTTTTAGCAAAGAAATTGAGGAGCTAAAGGAACGCCTTAAGTCTGAATCTCAGTCAAAAATATTAACTGCAGTACATCTTAGAGACTCAAATAAAGAGCTTCGACAATGGAAAGCGGTTGCTGCTCAGTTAAAATGCAAAATAGACGAATTGGAGTCGAAAATCTCGGAATTAGAGCACCTCAAAGTTCCACTGAATCTTGAAGACGACGTCTTCGAAAATGACGATGGTAAATTGTATCATTCATCAGGTATTCGCCACAAAAGACATAGCACAAAGATGTTGTGTGATGAAATTGCAGAAATGAGTACTTTATCAGTTGTTATTTCAGACATAAAGTCGATTAAGCTACCCGATGATAGTTGTAGTGAACGAGAGATTGAAGAACAAACTTATTCACAACCGAATTTGAGGAATATCGATTGCTCGCGAAACAGTAAAAAAGCAATAAAGAACATAGAAGGTGGCGATTTATCGTTAAACGCAACTTGTAGTAGCTTTAATACTTCTTCTGGTGATAATAAAGAAAATGTTACAGCTAATTCCCAAAAAGATTTAGAGTCCAATTGTAAAGACAAAAAAGTTGTAACATTTACAACAGAGACTGTCGAAAAAACGAATCTAAAGCAACCTTTACGAAAAGGGGGAAGAGTTTTAGATACAAAGACATGGTATATCCCAAGTAAATCTAAAAAGTAGAATTGTAAATGTTGGGGACACTTTTACCATTTTATTCTGCTAGATTTATTGCTGTACCTTTTTCATATTTAATGTTAACTAAAAACATTCTTATTTTACTGAATGTTCTTTAGTTTTTATTTTATTTAAATAAAGTCTATGATTATTTTAATAGTGGTTTGTTTATTTAACAGTGAAACAAATGAATAGATACTTAACTAATTGATCAATGACCTACATATTACGAAATGTGTATTCTACTTATCTTTGACGCTTTTTTCATTAATTAAATATTCAAATAAGTCGTTGATACCACTGAATTCAGTTCTACTTTGAGGAGGGTCATTTTTAGGTATCCTGGGTAATGCTTTGCCAACTTTATGGCGAAATTCTTCAAACTGCAACATTAAACCACAATTAACAGTTAATACATTTACTAACACTATTAAAGATATACATTTTGTGCTCCAGATAATTTCCATATACCATAAAATAGTACTCCACAGCCGGTGAATGCATATAAGGTTCCCCAGCTTAGAGCTTTAATAGCTAATGCAGCACCACTCTCCTTCATTTGTGGGGATGTTGCTACTATTCCTTGATTAAAATACTTGGTGTCATGTCTTTTAGCAGCTGCTACAGCACTACTGAAGCCAATTAGGGCTGAAATGCCTGCCACACTTGTGAAGAAAAGAACAGCTATTAGAGAAAATTTTACTTTAATATTTTTAACAACAAATTCTACGCTAGTATATACCTTTGATTTTGAAATTGTTGTCTTTGTTCTCTGTTTTAGCATCTGTGGCTTTTTGAATTGAATTTTCCATATTTTAAGACTAAAAAATTGAGGTTAAAAATATAGGTTAGGTGGGTTTTAAATGTCATGAAAGTAATGTCTAACGTAACGATGGTTGAAACGGTTATTTAGTAGCAGCCGGGATAATACGAAAAATAGCCTTGTAAGAAATTGAAAAAGGTACTTAAAATTTTAAGTAAGAGGGTTCACGAAGCAATGGGAAATTTATAATAGCTTTAACATAAATAATGCTTTGTCCTTTTGTAATCATTATATTTACTTGAAGTAGTTACTGTGAAACTCAGAAATTTAACTAAGAACTAACAACAGAATTTCAATCCAGGCACTGTTTTATGATATATAAATATTCAGTTCAGTGTATTTACAAACAGCGTGATAATAACAATACTGTTCAATTTATAAGACAATGGAAAACAAGGAGTAAAGCTAACTAACATACGAATTCCACTTTTTTGTTTGGAATAAAATTGCCATAGGTTGTTGAACAAACAACTCTCTTATTTAAAAATTTGCTAACAAATCTAGAGACGAACGTGCTCATAAACAATTTTCAAAAATTTAACGCTTTATATGTATAATAGTATTGTAGAAATAATTACTTTAAAGGTTTCTAGTTAGAAGAGTTATTAATTTGCTGTACAAGTTCAATGTGCAATTGTTCTAACCAGATTTGATATTGCAATATTATCGACTAATGTTAGGTATATTAAACTTAGATTACGTTTATAGGGGTTCTTAGGGTGTTTTCTTAAACAAATTGGATAATATGCATATTTGTGTAACAAAACCGAGTTGATAGTTTTTATTATATTTTACCGACTATCATATAACACCGTTACTATTTATAATGATATATTTACTGCTTTGAGAGGGTAGTAAAATCGAATTTATGCGTTAAATTTTCGAGTAAACAGAATTTGCGATAGCCTGTAACTTATGCGATTTAAAAGTATGAATTTGTATAAGTATTTAGCAACCACTCGGAGTATACAGAGAGAATGAACTACAGTAAATTTACTTAAAATTTAGATTCTCTTTTCATTTACAATGTAAACTTCAGTAAAATTTAATACACTCTACGTTTATAATTATGGTAACAGTTCTTAAAAATTGAAATATACAAGACAATTACCTTCATTAATCAATCACAAACACGTTTTTATTTGAAGTTTACATTTAAAAAAAACACAGGGCACTGCAACACAATTACGGTCCTTGTTAATGACTAAAGAAAATTTACAGTGCCATTTAATGGCACCTCCTAGGTTACTGGGAGTAACTTTGAATTTCATGCTTATGGACTCTAAATATTATTGAAGCACCCTGTACATAAACACGTATCATAACTATATACATATTTTTTATATATATATATGTGTGTAGAGATAACAATTAATATTTGAATTTTATCACATGCTTTTTAAAGTTTTTTTTTTGTTTTGTTTGGAAGTAAACAATAAAACTTACGACATATTAATCGTAATACACTCATACAATAGTATCATCGCGAAGATGATAATATTTCTACGTAAGTCTTTTCAAAATGGATATAGAAGTGTATCAGAGTTTGAAACAGTTGTTTTTGTCTCTGTTAATTGATAGTAATACACATTTTCTTACGAAGTAAGCACGAAATACTGTATAGTTTTAGTATAGACATACATAAATAGTTTAGAATGTGAGCTTAAAAACGACCCCTTTAACAATAAAACAGGTGAGTCTTAAAACCGCATATTGAATGTAGCTACAGGGTGTAGTGGTATAGATTTAATTCGATCTTGTTGACGCTCTGTGTATGCTTGATAGTTAAAATTGATTTTATTAGTACCTATTACAAATTAAATTCAAAATCTAAAACTGATGTCGACATCCAAGGTGTCACTTTTAATTTGAGACTAAGTTTAAATAAAATTTACGTTTTATTTAGTCTCCAATTGAGAACAACATTATGGGCATCGAAACGCGTTTAAGATTTATATGATATTATATAGATTTTGTCTGTCATTTTATTTTAGTTGATAATCATATTTAAGTCAAGCAGGAGAAAAGCTTTATATTTATCTTTAATTTATCTTACAAGATTCTGCACTCAAAATTTTTCTTTGATGTAATTTTATACAAGTTGGAGGTATGTATTTTGGTTTTGGGTTCCTCTTTTTTGACTTAATAGTCTTAATTTAATTAATTAATTTTTATTGTAAAATTTGGAAATATAACTGCTAATAATATTTATTCATTTAAACACAAGTTTACATACCATATTTTGAAGTAGCATTTTAAAGGTCCTTTCAGTTCATTTAAATTGTACTGTCAATTTAGGGAAGTTCAACGATACGATTGCAGTTTTAAGACTTTCAACTACATACTTATACACTTTACGAAACATCGTTATCAGTCATGTAAAAATCACTTTTTCATTAATAATATTCAATATAATATAATTATTAATTACCATGTCACCTTGAATAACAACCAGATATTTACTAATAATTATAATTTACAATATGTCAATATCATTTTAAATTCCTATAACAAGTGACGGGACTTTGCTTTTTGAAAATTCTTCGCCGAAAGAAAGACTTACTAGTCGTCCCACGTGGGGAAGGCATTGTCACTTAAGAAAAGCGAAGTCCCTTGACCTTTGCCTCCCGTTGAGGAAACGTGCGACTGGGGTGCCGCATCTGAAATTACCGATCTAGTTGTGTTGCTTTTCATATTGTACTGCTGCTCCACCTGGAACTGTTGATCTGTTCCTGGAGCGCCGCTCCACTGCTGGGTGGTGGTACTCCAAGGATCCGCTTGATTCCAGGACGTATCCCAGTTATTGTAAACTGGCTGGGGTTGGTTCGTACTTTGAAAAAAGTCAAAAAAATATCAAAGGATATTCTATAGTTGCCTTAAGCTTTCCAAGCTCCAAATTTCTACGTAGAATTGTTGCAATTTTTAGCGAAAAAATAAACAGTAAAAAGGTACCTATAATTTGGTATAGTTGCAGCGGTGTATTGCGGCTGATAATTCATTTTATCTGAGTTTCCATGGTCAGTGACTGTAAGTTCAATGTTTTGATCTATTTCGCTCCCTTCTTCAAGGGTGCTATGTTTTATACCGTAGTAAAAGTACATTATGAAACCTAAAAAACATTTTTAACAACAACTTTCTATATATATATTTATTGTATATGACATTTAAGTACCTAAAGTCATCCAAATAGTAAATCGAACCAACGTTAAGTAAGAAAGTTTAAATATAAGGTAAATGTTAACAGTAACTGCAATTGCTGGTACAAATGGTAGACCAGGGGTCATAAACATGACAGCGTTCCTTTAAAGAAAGAACGATATGAAATGGTTAAGGTAATGATGATAAAAACGTATGTTTACGTACCTGTTTTGGGGTTTTCGCGATATAGCTAGTAAAACGCCAATGATAAAGAAGAAAAATAGGAATAAGAAAACGGTTGTGGCAGTTGTCATATTGTGCATACCCAACACTATTATGAGATCAAAAATAATAATGAAAATGTACAATAATCCGACCATTTTCATTACGAACATTCCGGACTCTTCGGTGGGGGGTCCGGTGTCTACCCAGGGAAATATTGCTGGGAAAAGGTATGTCGCGGCCTAAAACCAATCAAAATATATTAAAGAAGACAATGAGGTATTATTTTTGTAAAACCACGGCAGATTAAAAACAAATGTTTCTTTTTAATTGCATCTAACAAATACCGTATTTGTAAACTAGGTATATCCACCTTAAATGATTATTTTAAAGATTTATAATTTACAATTGATGATTGTTCTTTCAAAAGTATGTTGGAGTAACCTTTGTTATTCAATTAAAAATTTTAAACCATCAATTTGTATGTTTATTCGATTAAATATCAGCGATAATAATGCATCGTGCTGTGGGGTTACTCGCTTGACGCATCGTTGATCTCTCTTAGGTTAATGCCGAAAATAGGTCGATTTTGAGCGGATTATGAAGCGAATTGTTGCCTATCACAATAGAAATTCTAATTATAGTCTATTGTTCATTAATAATTAACATTTTCAGTGGTAAAATTTGATTTACATTACTTTTTATAGCTGTTGAACAGTCCACTTTCAATTTAAGACGAAAACAAAAACTGTAATAAAAGTAGAAATAATTTGGTATGTACTAACCTGAAGTCTCCGCCCTATATAACCCATACTAGGTCCCACAGTGGATCCAATGACTCCCCCGGTACTTGCAGTGCTGCCACCCCCATGTAACGTACCTGAAATACAGTATTTCATATTTTACATGAACCAATGTTCTGTAAATGCTTAACATTCACCATAAAACTTATTTTCCGTTCGATCCGACACCAAGAATTGGTCATCTCTCATTGAAAATTCATCTTCTTGATCTCCCGGGTACGTGTCGTCACTATCAGGAGAGCTAGGAGAAAATAACAAATAATAAATCGGTTTTTCTTGGCTGTTTCAAGGGGTTCGATATTATATTTCTGTTTGTAAACTAATTTATTTGTAGCCCTTCTGTACTTAGGTATACATATATGCTACAATTTGATTGAACTTTAAATTTAAATAAAAAACGGACAGACAGACACACGAGTGATCCTGTAAGGGTTCCGTTTTTCATTCGGCCGTACGGAACCCAAACCCGAGAACCAACTGGACATTACAGTTAATCCTGCTGTAATCTATAAGTAAAAAACTATTTTCTGTATTTTTGCAGAAATGTTTCTTAAAATTTCGTTTTACCCCCCGAAAAATGACCCCCATGTTTAAAATTAGTTTATTTACGTTATGCGTCCGTGTTTTGGACACACTAAATTTCAATTAATTGGTCCAGTAGATTCGGAGCAAATTTACTGCGACAAAAGGACAGACAGACACACGAGTGACCTTATAAGGGTTCCGTTTTTCATTCGGACGTGCGGAACCCTAAAAAGGTCAAAAATTATTTACAATTTTGTAAACCTTCTACAAAAGGAGTGAGCAGTTTTTGTAGCTAAAAAATACAAATAAAATGTTTGATGAATAATGTTTGTTATTTGGGCACGATCATCAGGCCCTAAAGTCAAGCATTATTCAGATAACGCCGACTGTGAAAGAGTAACGTTTTTCATGTAAAGTACCTTCTAGTGATTCTTCTGACCATAACCCTTTGTGTTGGTTGAGTAGGGATAGGGGATGGGGATAAGGAAGGAACTTGCGATGACAGATTAGAATCTAAAGCTTGTCGTAGAGCGTCTGGCTGTAATTGATTGGTATAAAGACCCTGGCCGTTCGGAGCTTGGGAAATTGTCTCCTTTGTGGGCGAACCTTTGATTGGCGTACGAAGACTTTGTGGTAGCAGTTCCACTAAGTTTGTCGAATGCGGTTGATATCTTAGAATTAGAACGCACGTCGATACCAATGTGTACGCTAACAACGTACCTAAAATTGCGAAAAAAATCTAGAAATATTCGATTACATTGCGCCTGTTTACTTACCAATCGACATCATTTCAACAAGGACGTCTAAACTAATAATAAGTGCTGCAAGAGCAGCAGCTAATCCGCTGCCCAAAGTTGCAATAGCAGGCGTGCCAGTACTGGGCCACACTTGAGCTAATATTCTATAAAACGTTGTGACAAAAATTAATTGATTAATTTGATTGAAAAGATTTACCTAAAAATAACGCCGTCTTGAGCCATTGCATAAATGACTCGTGGCATAGGGAACATCGATCCAAACATGCTGACCGTAAGTCCCGCAAAGGCACCAATTGCGACAATATATTTACAATTGTAGGCCCCGACCTGGTCGAACATTTTTACTAATGCAGAGTTCTCGTCCACTTCAGTGTACGGTACTGAAATAGTAAAACATGGAAAACAATAAAATCCTCTCTTCATACATAATATTGGGTGCAGCGTATTTATAGATTCTAAGCTTTATGATGTCGTACATTTACATAAAATAAGGGGGTTGCTAATATTCTGTAACAATTTTTAATGAAATAATTTATTATTTTCGAATAACTGTAAAAATGGTGTATTACAAACTAAAAGAAGAAAGTACAACATTCCCTTCTGAGTGTAAATTACCACTCTATATTTCCGGAAGGGGTGGTGTACTTTGCTTTCGAGTTCCGTAAGCAATTTTTACTGTATCTCCGCATCTAAAGTACGATTTTTTCTGATTTCAGGGACGAGAATGTTCAACATAACTTCCAAGGTAAGAAATTGCAGTTACCGTTTATTTATGTTTATATTTTAATTCTTTTCGTCAAGTGAAATCATATAGATTTTCTTTTATAAATTAACAATAAATATCGTAATGTTGACCTGATAAATCATGATTTATTCAAAAACTTTCGAAAGGGGTGCTAAAAATATTACGTATCACACCCTTAATGTTCAACAGCTGTTTACGATAATTGATGTAACCTTTTTTAGAGCAAGGTAATAATTTTGAAGAGAAAAGGAATTTAATTGGAAACAATATTTCTTTTTTTTTTATTTCAACACAAACACGAACAAACAAATTAAATGAGTCGTTATTCTAACGTAAGGGTAAACAGAAAAGGATCAAGTCGTATTTCTTTTATTTTGGGTCGTTGAATCGTAAAGTTGGAATTACAGAATTACCTATTAAAGTAAGCATCATGGAGCTCGTAACGTACGCCGTTAATATAATTCCTAAGCTAGTGATAATTGCTAATGGGATAGACTTTTTTGGATTAGTTGCTTCCTCGCCGGTGGTTGCAATTATGTCGAAACCAATAAAGGCGTAGAAACAAGTTGCTGCCCCAGTAAATACCTGAAAAGCGAATTTCACTTCACACTAATTACACATGACAAACAAGCCAAATGTAAACAACAGTGGAAATGAAAATTTCGTTTATTTATTGCTTATATGTGAAGGTGTCTCTTCCTATTGAGCAAATGAATGTTTACATTTGCATCTCTTCAAGCCTAACAAATTGTGGCAATTTCGAGAATACATATTGGCTTAGTTCTCTACAACTTGTCTTATTTATGGTGTTTACTTTTCAGTAGTTGGTGATAAGGGAAAAATGGGGAACATTGGTATTGTTTATGTTTATGTATTTTGAAAGAAATCACAACTATGCTCGCGAACGTTTAATTTAGAAATTTGAGATCGATGTTCGATAGTAAATCCATCTGCTATATGTTGAGGTTGGAAAATATTTTTTTACTAATTATAAATAAAAAAAAGTGGAAGAAAATGTAATAAATCAAATAAAAATAAATAAACATTTATTTGACGTAAATAAGTATAAAGCAACCAACAAAAGAATGTCAAGTATGTAATAATTAAATTAATCCAAAATCAACACTTAAAAAGTAACACTTAAATTTATGGAGGGGATGCTCAAATAATAAAAAATAATAATTAAAGATATCTAGGGAATGTCACACTTATTTTGTGTTTGCAAACCCATTAGAATAATCATTCATATATTTCATTTTAGTTTATTTTAATGAAGATAAGATGGATTTGATTCATTAACACCTCTGAAAATCTAAGGACTAGTGTTAATAAATTTTCAAGTAAGAGATCATCAAATTTATAATGCCGCTGCAGAACTGAAAACAAAATTTCTCGGATTCTAAATGTCACTCCTAAAACTGAGTTTTGTTTTTAAATCAGCAGTTCTAAGTATTCTGTTTCACTGTGATTTCTTCTTGAAAAAGGACTAGGTATTGTACCTACATGTAAAATTTGTATTCTGTTGTTGACAGATGAAATTTTATACGAATTAAACTCATTTTTTTATATTACGGCTGTTTTTGTCAGCATGTCGGGAAATTTAGTAGACTACAATTTTCTTACCCCAGACCAGCCGTGCGGAAGGAAACCCCCGTGTTCCGTCCAGTTGGATGCCTTCACATAAAACAGACCCGCTGACATTACAAATACCCACACCGCTAAATTAATCGCATTGAGAATGTTGTTAAAAATTAAGGACTTCTTTACTCCCGCTGTTAACAGCAGCGTCATTAAAATTGTTATCACGAACGCTAAGAAATCCGGGGATTTACCTGAAATATAAGAAAAACAAATGACTGAAAGCAATTTGTTACGTATAATTAAAATGTTGGTATTGATCCCGAGGTAGTAAATCGCCAGGACTGTATAATATTAACTATTTTACTTTTGTGTTGTAGTTCAATTTGGGAATTCTTCTGACATTTGTAAATTGAACATAGACCAAAAAGTTAAATTACAAATGTTCGAACATATTCCATGGTGACCACAGACTAAATTAAATTCTCTGACTTTTATAGGTTTTCCAGACATCTAATTTTATAATTCCCTGACTAAGTTTAGAAATATTCAATTATATGTATGGTTAATAGACAACTGTATCTAAAGAACATTACCTTAATAACGGGCAATAAGTAAGAAATTTTCATGCACTTTTTTGTTTTATTTATACTTATTAAATAAATATGAAAGAGTAGTACTTTTAGTTTTAAAAGCTAGACAACGTATGTAAAACATAAATACTCTTTTATTTATCTTATTTACTCTTTAATTTATCGATTTCATCATCTATTGATAAAATATCTCTACGACTAGTTTCGTCTAGACCTTTCCCTTTATCCAGAATATTTTTCAATTGCTGTTTCTTCATATATTTATTCTTAGTATCAAGGTCATCTAATTTTTTTTTTTTAAACTTTCATTCACAACGACTTCTTGCATTTTTAACCTACTGTTGTTATTTCAATATTTTCAATTCCAACATTTCTTAATTTATCGTAAATTAATCTTTGGACAATTAGTGAATCTTCTTGAAAATTTTCAATTAAGCAGTATTTGTTGATGGAAAATGTACGTTCAAGAAATGAGTTACCGTGAAAAAAATGTAAATATAACTTTGATGTTTTTCCTGATTTGGGAGAAATCCCTTGATTATTCCCTGACTTTTCCAGTAAATTGGAAATCCCCTGACATTTCCAGGTTTTCCAATTTTGTGGCCACCATATATTAGGTCGTATAAACCTTATCTGGTTGAAATACACAAGTACTCATGAGGTATATAAATAATGTATCAATTAAATAAATACCAGCCGTTGATGCAATTATTGTAATGTCGACATTTATTACGTATTTTAATTGTAATTGTAATTATCCTGGTTGTCCAGTACACTGTGAAATCCAAAAATATTTCGTTACTGTCAAACCTACGTTCGGTTTTCAATTACATGCAAAAGTAATATCGTGCTCCTGTACTTCAAAGACAAACGGATTGTGAAATTTTTTTATTGTACCTAAGTATTGATTAAATGCCTCTTTGTTCAGAATTTCGAGTAAAATTTTCCGTTTAGAGACAGACTGATTATTAGAAGCAGAATTTCAATTAAAGCAGGAGTGAATTCAAAAAAAGATTCCTTTTAAAGCAAATTGGTAGATGTTTTTTAATTAACACCACTAATGACTGAATCTTAAAATCGTTTAAAATACAAGAAAAACATTTGTTTGAATCTTAATTAAATAACACTATTTACAAGTTTTACCGATCGAGTTGCTGTAAATAATGGTCTTGTTAATTGTAAGATTTATTTTGATAATATAATTTATTTCTAGTTTTAGTCATCAACATCATTAAAGACAGTACAACTGTAGGGATAGATGTGCAAAGGCAAAAGATTAGTATGCTTAGATTTGCAGATGATATAGCCGTATTAGCATCTAGCAAGGAGGACCTAGAAATAGCTTTAAATAAAATGGAAGCAGTACTGACAGATCAGTACTGTATGAAAATAAATAAAAGTAAAACTAAAATACTGGTATGCAAGGGAAGAAAAAGTAGGGAAAGAGCGAATATAAAGATAGGAGACGAAAAATTAGAAGAAGTGGCTGATTTTAGATACCTAGGAAGTCAGATAAGTGAGGATGGAAGGAGTAGTAGGGATATAAAGCAGAGGATAGCGCAGGGTCGTGTCGCCTTTAATAAAAAGAAGTCACTTCTATGCTCGCGAACGGTTAATTTAGAAATTCGAAAAAGGTTGTTAAAGGTGTATGTTTGGAGCACGGCGTTGTACGGGTGCGAAACATGGACAGTGGGAGCGGCGGAAAAGAAAAGGTTAGAAGCGTTCGAAATGTGGTGTTATAGGCGGATGATGAGGATATCGTGGGTAGAAAAGGTTAGAAATGAAGAGGTATTGGAAAGAATAGGAGAACAGAGGACTCTATGGAAGTCAATAAAAAATAGGCGAGATAGGTTGGTAGGACACCTTCTCAGGCATGAAGGTCTAGTCAGAGACATATTAGAGGCAGAAACAGGAGTTAAGAGGGGTAGAGGTAGACCTAGATTAGATTACTGTTCGCAAATAGTTAAGGATGTGGGCTGTTCTAGTTTTAGGGAAATGCGAAGTTTGGCTCAGGATAGGAAAGAGTGGAGGTACGTGTCCAACCAGTCTTAGGACTGACGACCTTATGATGATGATGATGATTTTTAGTGTGAACTTGCTTCTGTAATATCATTAATGATACTTAAAACTACTATTTGTGGTTCCTCAAAAATACTTATAATGATTTAGACATTTTCTTTTACTATGAAATAGAAATAACAAATGAAATTTACCAAATATGGTTCCTAAACTTTGATAGACTGCATCAGAAATGGCCCCGTTCATTAAGGCATCTAAACAAGCGCTAAGGGCACATGCACATGCGCTTGTTCCAATCAGGTACTCCAAAATCATATTCCAACCTATTACGAACGCTATGAATTCTCCCACTGTTACGTACGAGTACATGTATGCAGAACCCGTTGTGTGGGGCACTCTCACTCCAAATTCGGCATAACACGCCCCTGGAAATTAAAATTCCAATTAGACCATTTTCTATCATCTTTATCGATAGAGTTTTTGGAAAAAAATAATCGAAATACATCCAAATATCATGAATTTTTTTTATTAATAAAAAGCTTTTACCCTTGTCCTATCGCATACGTATGAAAGTTCATCGAAAATAGAATAATTTGATTAAATAGCGGTGACCAGGATTATCAGAATAAAATTAAAGTTTCTAATTCCTAGGTTAAACATATACTATAAGTAGAATGACAGTTAATACTGTTCAACTTTATCGAGATGAAAACAAATATCTCTGTCCTTCGGGAACAGTACTTTTTTTCTGGATTAAAGGTACCCTATGTCCTTCTCTGTGGCCTTGACAATATGTCTACAAAATTTCATGATAATCGGTTGAGTAGTTATGGCGTGAAAAATAGTAATATTGATTAGAATATAGTCCGGGGGATTCCCCAATTCTTGAGTACTCAATTGCGCCGGTGCGTTGGGTTGTTTGGTACAAACTGTGTCACAGTAAGACTTTTCTAAAGTTTCTTTCCCATTAAAGGTTTCTATCACCCGGTCGTACGCATAATAGAACCAATTTTGGGCTGTCAAACACCTTTCCTAGCTTTTCTAACACGCCTTTTCATTAGTGCTTATTCAATGAAATCAACGCGCACGAACCAATTTCCCCTGTTAATGTGCAATTTCAGAATTCATTTTTCTCATATTGTTTGTCCGACATTTGTTTGAATAGAGAGCCGCGTACAATGGAATGGCAGATGTTCGTTTATCCTTTTTTTCCGAGTGTAAAAAGTTGTGCGTTTTTTCACAGCATTTGCTAAAATTATACTGTACTTAACCTATGGAAATTTCATCATTTATATGTATAAAGAGTAAAATAATTCGTAGTGGTCTGTATTCTGTCGAAACTGCCAGACGCGGATCGCGATTTCGATCTTTTTGGATCTTATCAGCGCGTCGCAGGCAGCTTCGACCAATATAGTACCAATAAGTACTAATAAGTACAACAAAAAGCCTACCTATTGAAAATTGAGATTGTATTGGGGTAGGTCGTGTGTCCTAATTTGTATTATTTATTGATTACTGCATTTTTTTTTCATGAATAACAATACATCAGTATGGCCGAACTGTAACAATTTCTGTCGCTTATTGGTACAATATTGGTTTTCATTGATGATAAGTTATTAGTATGAATTAACACCTTATAGACATTTAGTATTTATAAATATTAAAGGTTCGTTTCAACGGTTTCAATTCAACCCTTTCGTTAAAATCCGTCAACCAAGAATTAGAATTCCATTGGGTTAGTGTTTCAACAACTTTTTTAACGGGACGTAACGTGGTTTGGAACGTTAGAGAGGGTGTCATATAACGGAAAACTCGCCCGAGAGAAGACATGAACCATTAACCGTAGTGGTTTGGCCGGATATCCGACACAGCTAAAGCCGGGTTCCCGATCATCCGGTAGTAATCGGTGCATATCTCTACTTTGTTTTGATTATTTTATTTCGAAAATAATTACGGTTTGAATCTAATATAGTACTAAGATTCTCCAAGACGTTCTAGACGTACCTGCTAACATTGTAGCTCAAAAATAAATTAAAAAGTTTTTAAGCACCCAATATCCACCTACGCTGTTGAAATTGTTTTCCTTAATTAAATTCAAGGACTTTAAAAAACATTAAATAAGTTTGATGATGCCGCGCGTAATAAAGAATACAATTCTCAAAGCTAACAAAACGTTTTAAAAGTACAAATTTATCTGTACGTAGTAGTTGTTTTCGCGATTGTTTCAATATTTAACAAATTACATAACACGATACGTATACAACAGTCTATTGTATGTTTCTATACCATTTAAAGCAGTTTGTAATACTTGGGCTTATTGCATACTACGTAAGAGCAATTCTGTAGTAGCATTTGTACTTGTGTGTTATAGAAACAAAATTATATCAACTTTTGTTAAAAGAATATAGGAAACTTTTATATTGTGAGTGAAGAATTTTGACTAAAATGTAAGTTATAACTATCTTATGAAGTTAATATTTCAGTAGAAATTTGAAATACTGTTATTACAAAAAAGGAATTATGTTCTTGTATGTAATTACGAAAAGGTATGCGATGTCAGTTATTCAATCATATAATTGAAGCGTTTCAAAAATTTGTATTCTTTACAATACGTTAATAATAATTTTACACAACTTGGTTTTTCAACATTTTTAGCGTTTGTATACTTTTTTTGCTATCGATATGTATTTTACGGATTCCAAAATATTTAACTGATCTATGTGCTCTTTAATTTTGTAAATGGGCAATTTCACGAGCTTTGGCTATCGTGGGTTTTGCTGAATGAAGACCATTAGTCTTTCTTTTTTTTATGCTGCCCTTATTATTCTCGGATAGTGTCCCCAGAAAATACGTTCGGTTTCTCCCAAAGGAATGGTATTGATTTGTTGAAAGATGAGTCACATGAAAACTGGAGTTGGCTTGTCCTGTTTATTTCTAATGTATAGTTATTCATCGTCCTGACTGCAGGAATAACATCTACATAGATATTAAAGTTTTATTTTCCAGCATAAAATGTATCAAATGTTTATATCCCTCTAACTGCAATCGGGATGAGAAGTTAGACAAAACGGCTACAATGTTTTTAAATATTTATCTACATATTTTATTTTTATGTTTATGTTTTCATGTTTCATGTTTGATGTTCGATGTCTTTGAGAGTCATTTCAGGGTGTTCTGTTTTCGATTTATTTCTAATTGTCTTTTCAAGTGGTAAACTAGCAATTCGTAGTTCTATAAAATTACGCTAACTGCTTTATCGACCCCTTTATGTTCCCTTTTTTCCATTTTAGCGTTCGGTTGTTAAATTGGAAGTAGTTAAAAGATTTTCTTTCGACATATGACGTCTTTATCGATTTTGTACTTCATGGGTTAATTTATTGACAATTTTTTTTCGGTTAGTAGGAAAAATATTTGGAAAGTAAGTATTATCTTTCTTCAAGTCAAAAGGTTAGAATGATATTTTGTTGAAAATATTCTTATTAGGGTATACGGGGTTCGTATTCTTTTTATCATTCGTACTCATCTCTTTTTCACTTGCACCATCCTTCATAGAGTTAGGATTTTTAATTAAATAACGCCGTTATTAAGCATTCTGAAAATTTATAGGTATTTTTGTAAATTAATAAATAATATATGCTCAAATTTTCATCAATTCTTTCTTCAAGACACTTGGAAGAGTTCTATTATGTCTTGAAATTATGTAGATAGTTAATTATTTGTCTTTTAAAGTGTTCTCCTGGTGAATTTTGAAGGGATTATTTAAACGTAAAGCTTTATCCTCTGTTATTTTTTTATATCGTCTACCTCATCCGTACGTTACCCCTAAAATTTCCTTTTAATTACTTTCTCTTCTTAAAACATTTTACTTTAAGTCATTATAAGTTTTATGTTGAAATAACTTCAGTGGCAACACAGAAGGTGATTATTTAATTTGTGTAAGTTAATAAGGAATTAACTAATTGCTTTTATATATGTTTTAGTAAACTCTGACAACAAGGCTCTTTTTTATGTGTATAGTTTTTGAATGTTTTGCCGGTTATTGCTTCTTAAAAATGAAAAGAAGATAGGCACTTTTACCGAATTACCCACTTCTATTTTCAATTTTAACTTGCAGCTTTATGGACGAAAGTAATTTTAATTCCTGGTTTTAATTGAATTTTATACGAAAGGTTACGCATTTTGAGGTTGTTATATTTTAATTAAAACTTGCAATGTGTTTAATGGGAAAGAAATGTAAGTTACAAAGTGTCAGTTTCAAAGACAATCAATGCTTTTTGTACAATCTCATTGTTCATCGAATATCATGGAACTTGTACCTATGTATTGTATACCTCACCTTTTATAATACGTATTTGCTTTTCTTCTTTTGATAATCCTTCAGTAGTTTACATTATTCGTGTTCGTGAATTTGAATTATCATTAGCTTAGAGAAGGAGAAGAAGAATGAGAGCGTTATCACAACATAAGGGTTCCGTGGATCGTGCCGAAACGGACCCCTAACAAGAAAGAGTAGTCCAAAATAGAGATTCTTACCTGAAAATATACTAGCAACTGCTGCGATGATAAAACTAAAAATTACTCCGGGTCCGGCGGATCTTTTTGCAACCATTCCAGAAACCAAATACATCCCTGTTCCCACACAGCTACCGACTCCTAAGGAAGTCAGGTCGAGGGTTGTTAGGCATTTCTGAAAAAAAAAAAACGAAAAGTCGAGCGGAAGCTAATAAAGGTCCTTTTTCGTATAGTGAATAAAATATCACGATTGAAGAAGTTTCTTTGAAGTATTTCCAATTGAAATTCATATTTAGGTTTAGGCTAATCTACGTTAGTGCAATTTTTGTTCGAAGTTGCTCATTAAAGAATTGAACTATGCATTATGGAAACTTCGCGTAATATGACCAGGATATTAAGTATGCTAAACCGTCTTATTCCATCAACGTATTAAACTTTTGATTATGTATATGTTTGTATCTATAGGTAATTTTTTTTTCCTAATGAATAGATGCTTATTACACTTTAAATACGTAAAACATTCGTTAGCATGAAAAAATCTTACTATATCTACTTAGACATTAGACAGAAAAGTTTATTTAACGATTCGAAAAGGAAAATAACGACCATGGGTGACGTTGTTGTGCATTAGCGTCGCTATAAATAAAGAAATATTGCTTCGATAAGGTCTGTATGAAGTTGGGGTAAAAAGTAACTAGGTGAAAAATGAAGGTTAACGGTACTTTTACGGGTTAGAGACGTAGCAGGTGGTTTATTTATGGAAGGGTTAAAAATACAATGAATTTTTTATAGCCCTTTTTTTCAAAAATATAAAATGAATAAGTTATAAATTAAAGAACGTTTTTATTATGTGTTTGTGATTTTGCTATCGGCTCGCAAACTTAGGAGAATCTTTTTTGATAAAGTTATAATAAATAATAAGAAAAATTATTTATGTATGTAACACGTAAAAGTCAATTTTGAATTTTCAAATCAACGACAGATGTTCCGTATTTGAAATTCGTCTTTGGATCTCTCCTACCCCCTTCGTCACGCCAAGTCACGTTTCCAGCGAACCCCCCCCTAACAATACTACGTCACAACGGCTAGTGCACCCCCTCCTTATAAACGATTTCTTGTGCGATTAAAAATAACAGTGGGAACGACTGTCTATCGTAATGAAAAATTTTAAGAACTGCCACATTCTTGTCTTATATCTTCACGAATAAAATAATTCGAAGTGGTCTGTATTATGTCGAACCTGCCAGACGCGGATCGCGATTTCGATCTTTTTGGGTCCCATCAGCGCGTCGCAGACAGCTCCGACAGAACACAGACCAACTTTTACCTGCTGTCTTAACAGCGCGTTTTAGAAAATACTACAAATGGCGCAGTAAACGCCATCTGTAGCACGATGCTACATTTTAGGATTACGTTTACTCCAACAAGGTCCACTTGTGTGGATATCTACTTGATGAAAACGAATCCCGGCGTAGCCAACCTCAACGTGATAGGCACGTTAGCTTAATCGAATAAAATAATTCGAAGTGGTC